AAGACAAATGGGTTAATTATATAAATAGGCAAGCCACAGAGGAGGAAATAAAAACATCCAATCAATACGTGGAAATATTCCAATTATATCAGCTATGTACTGCAACTTTCATACAAGTGATAAAAATATAAGGCTTGAAAATATCAAGTGTTAGTGAGGGTGTGTGGGGATGGGCGCTCTTGTGTACTGCAAGCTCAAGTTGGCACTGATGTTTGAGGAGCTAACTGGTAGCAAAGATGAACATGAAAATGGGCACACAGTACAGCTGAGGGAAGCCATCTCTAACACTCCGCCCTGAAGAACACACATGTATGTGTACAAGGCTATTCACCAAAGCCATAACTATGAGTGAAAAAAATACCATACATCAAACATCAACATGCCAACCAGCAGGGGAATAAGCTATATATTCAGATATTACAGGAGATTAGAAAAATCTCTGCCTAGTGACAAACACTCAAGGGTGACCAAGTGGTTGTGTGTGTGTGTGTGTGTGTGTGTGTGTGTGTGTGTGTTTGTGTGTGTACTGAACTCTGGTCTTCAGACAGAACAGCAAGTGCAAGTGCGTTAAACACTGAGTAATCTTTCCAACCACCCCCTCCCCCACAACATAGTAGTATTCTTAAACTTCACATAATTTCAGGAAAAATATAGAATAATGTTCTAAAACAAAATAAAGTTATAGCTGTATATAATTCAAAATATATGTTGTACAAATACACAGAAAAAGGTCTAGAAAATACCCACCAAATTACTAACTGTTGATCTTGTGGAGAGAGAGGACAGTGTTGAGTAAGAGACATCAGGATGTGGAATGCCTTGATTTCCAGTGTTCTCTGTTTCTAATGAGTGTATTCACTCATTAACTCATGTAGTTATAAAGCAAGTATAATTTATATAGATCAAAATTAAAATTTTAAAATACCTTAACAGAGGTATGGGGAAGTCATATGAGACCATACTGAAATGAGACCTTGCTTAGCACACAGAAAGATTTTCTAACAGCTGTGACATTTTCATTGGACTTTGCTATTTGAATAGGATTTTGTCAAATGTTTATCATTTGATAGAAAGCTGGAAGCTGACTGACATTTTCCAAACACACATACTGGCACATACCAATGTGCATCTCACCCCAGTACTTTTTTCTTTCAATGTGGTATGGCCCTCCATGGGGAGGTGGAGGGTCTACTCTATAGCCCTGTCTCCTGAGCTTGTGCAGGACTTTGTGACTGCCTGGATGAAGAGAACATACTGGAAGCACAATGGCATGGCTTCTGAGATTGATTATCCAGCTTCTGCTGGGCCTCTGCTCTCTGCCTGGACAGAATATGCTCACCCTGGGAACCCAGACGCCAAGCTGTGAGGAAGCTCTCACTGGCCCACGTGGAAAGACCACATAAATGGCTCATGTGGAGAGCAACTGAGGCCTCCCAGTGGATAGCCAGAAGTAACAGCCTGACACATGAGGGAGCAAGCCTTCAGAAGATTCCTGGCCTGGCCTCTGAGTCCTCAGAGCCTCAGCTCAGAGACCTATCCATCATGGGAGAGGCAAGTCATCCCCACTGGGCCTTGTCCTAATTCCTGACCCACAGAATCTATGAACATAATAAATGGTATTTACACCACAAAATTTAGACCAGCATGGTACCCTGGAACAAAGACAGTCTAAAGAAAAGGGACTACACACAGGATGTCGCAGAGCCTGTGAGTACTGGCTGCTTGGGGTAAAGGGGACCTGAACGAGTGGCTGGGATCAAACTATGGAAATTTCATATGACAATATGAAAAACTTAGACTTATCTCCCTGGCAGCAGAGAGCGGTTGACAGTTGTGGAGCTGGGAAGTGAAATGCTAGGATCTGCATTTTAGCAAGCCGGGGAAAGGCTGGAGAAAAGAAAGGCTTAAAAATAGGAAAAGGGTCTGGAGAGACAGCTCAGTGGATAAAGTGCTTGCTGCAAATGGAAGCCGGGTAGGCATGGAGCCTGCCTGTAATGCTAACACTCAGGCGGCAGAGACTACATCCCAGGGCAAGCGGACTAACAAGACTAGGAACTGGTGAGCTCTGGGTTCACTGAGAGACTTTGCCTCAGTAAAGAAAGTGGACACCCACTTAGAAAAATACCTGACATCAACTTCATGCCTCTTTCACATATGAGAGGTACATATACTTGTACAGACATGCCCATACATGAACACACACACACAGACACACACAAACACACCCCATATACACATATATTAAAAACAACAGGTAGAGCCCCTCTGCCTGACATGGGTTCTGGCTAAGAACAACATGGAGGCATCTCCTCATACCCTGTTCTGCAGCTTCCCTTCAGGGCAGTCTCTGGTTCTCATCTACACTCTACTCCACATGTGCTGAAGTGTTAGAAGGAAAATCGATATTCACACAGAGGCCTACCCTGGCTGCTTGCTTTATACCACAGAACGAAAAGTGACCAAGGTGTCCTACAGTGGGTGAATCACTAAACTGAGATGTCTTATTCTGCACGCTGAAGAAAGGAGTGATCCAGCCATGAGAAGAACTTTCAAGACTCGAAGAAGCCAATCCTTCCTTTTCTTCTTTCTTCCTTCTTTTCTTTCTTTCTCTTTTCTTTTTTAAAGACAAGGTTTTTCTGTGTAGCCCTGGCAGTCCTGGAACTTGCTTTTTAAACCAGGCTGGCCTTGAACTCACAGAGATCTATCTACCTCTGCCTCCCAAGTGCTGGGATTCACGTTGTGCCCCACCACACCCAGCAGGAAGCTAATCTAAAGTGGTTTCCTATGCATGACTCCAGTGCTCTGACATTCTAAGAAAGGAAAAACAATGCAGACAGTAAAGAGGTTGGTGGCTGCCAGCACTGAGGGAGGCAGGGGTGGGTAGAGGGGCACAGAGGGACCTTGGGACAATGAGGCCACACTGTATGGTAATAGTGTATGTATGTCACGTGTCCATACCCACACCAAGTGTGTGTGCGTGTGTGTGTGTGTGTGTGTGTGTGTGTGAGAGAGAGAGAGAGAGAGAGAGAGAGAGAGAGAGAGAGAGAGAGAGAGAGGGAGAGAGAGAAATGGGACTTAGAATGACCGTGGTGCCAATACAAGCCTGACTGTAATAAATGTGGTTAGTGAGAAGCCATGTGTATTTTGCACAGGAGCACAGAGACACTTTGCACTTTCCACTGAGTTCTGCTGTGAATCTAAAGCTGCTCCCAAAAAGAAAGTCTATATTTGAAATGTTAGGAGGAAAAAAATGTTCAGAGATGTTAGAATGCAAGGAAAGTTTTCCCCATTGCTCTTCCTTCAAGCTTTTAGAGTTGAGCTGTTTGCTTCACAGGGCCACAGAAGAACACTAAGCAAGGCAGATGTGGTGGCACTCGCTCGTCCTCCCTCAAGCTCAGCACTCAGGAGGCGGAGGTAGGTGGTTCTCTGTGAGTTAGTTCCAGGATTGCATGGAATGAAAAGCTATGAGTTCTGTGCAAGCCAAGGCTACACATAGAGACACTGTCTCAAAGACAGACAGACAGACAGATTTAAATGTCAAGTAAGCTGCCCCTGGATTATAGCCATTTACAACAATTATCTGTGCTAATGCCATCTCACATAAACCCAAGTTTTTGTTATGTTTATTGAAAATATTATTAAAATTATTCTCTTAGTTCTCACAAGAATTTATAGAAACCATTTATAAATGTGTGCTTGTACAGGAAGTCTATACAAACACTGTGAGTTTTCAATTTTGGGTGTTGCAGATCTGTAGAAGGAGAAACTTTGAGGTATAAGGTCCAAGAACAGACAAAGAGAGAACCTAAACCATGAGCAGCCAGCCCTGTGAGTCAGGAGAGGACAACCAGAAGCTAAAAAGCAAAAGACAGATGAGGCAGTGCTCAGAGGGACTCAGGATGCCTGCTCTCATGTCTTGGTGATGGACGGGTCACCCCTCTGGCTGAGCAAATCTGGAGGAGTCTATGGCAATCAGGATGAGGCTGGGTGTGTAGTGTGCACTTAGCACGCATGCCACGAGGCCTGGGCTTTGTCTCCAGTCCCAAAGTATATTGCAAGTTGGGACTTCATGCAGAGCAGTGACAGGAGAGAGAGGTTCAACCAGAGCCAGACCCCAGGGACTCCTGACAACAGCCAAGCCCAGGCGGGACTCAACATTGTCACTTACTGGAGGTGACTTTGGTGTCATTTTGTGTGACTTATCCTGTGCCCTTTTCCCCCAAGGGTTTTGAGACAGGGTCTTATACTGTAATCCAGGTTGGCTTGGATGACGCTGGCTTTGAGTCTGTGGCAACTCTGCTTCTCCTGGATCCCAGCTTTCTCCTGTGCCCTTTTCTAAAGTTAATGATTCAGGAGATGACTGAGTAAGCTGTGGGATTGGTGCTATTCATTATGCTCGTTCACATTTCCACTTAATGCCTGCTTTAGAAGGATCTCATTCACTAAACCTCATCAGAAATAAGGTTCACTACAAAACATACTAAACTTGGTCTTGAGAGAGGGCTGTTCTTGCAGAGGACCTGGGCTCAGTACTCAGCACCCACACGGTGGCTCACAGCTGTCTATAACTCCAGACAGCCGGGATCTGACGCCATCTTCTGGCCTCCATGGCACAAAGCACTCATGTGGTGCACAGACATATATACAGACTTACACATATAAAGATAAGAAAATAAATATTTTTTTAAGAACAGAAAATTAGTTCTACCCTTTAAAGCTTTCAAGAAAGTGTAAGGCTTGCAATTAATTTTTAAACAAAATGAAAAAGAAGAGAAAGAGCTAAGAATCCCAGAAGCAGGTGACCAACAAAATGGGAGTTGAGGGTCCTGCATGGGCTGGGTTTTTCATACCAGTCCTGCCCTTGATGACCTGCTTTCTTATAAAACCAACAAAGCCAACTGTTGCTAAATTTCAAAATCAAATCTTGTATTTGTGTAATCTTCCCTTCTAGAGCATCTTACTTTTGTTTCTGAAGAAAATCTCATACGTAACCAAGTTACCTGTGTCCCAGAGGTTGCAGATTTCCGACTCCCGTTCTGACAGCCAGGACGTAGGAGAGGGGATGGAAGGAGGTAACCTTGGCAAACGTTGCTTTGGATGCTCGTATGAGTACAACAATGTTAGGTCCTGACAGAAACAAGAGAAGACACATTCACTGAAGAACAAAAATGCACCAGAGAGATGGGTCAGCTGTTAAGAGTATGTGCTATCCTTGAAAGGACTGGAGCTGGACTACACCCAACAGCTTACAACTTCCTGTCTGTCACTCCAGCTCCAGAAGCCCTGATGCTTCTGGCCTCTGAGGGCACTTGCACTCATGTGCAGATACCTAGACACATTGTCAAAAGAAAAATCAGTGTGTGCTGGTCAGTTTTATGTCAACTTGACACAAGTTATAGTTACCTAAGAGGAGGGAGCCTTAATTGATAAAATGCTTTCATAAAATCTGGCTGTAGGCAACCCGTAGGGCATTTGTTGAGAAGGTAGGGTGGCTGGAGGGTTCTAGACAGGATTTCTCTGTGTAGCACTGCCTATCCTGGAACTCTGTAGTCTAGGCTAGTAGGGAACTCAGAGATTCACCTGATTCTGCCTCCCAAGTCCTAGAACTAAAAGCATGCACCACCACTGCCTGGGCATTTTCTTAATTAGTAACTGCTGATGAAGGGCCCAGCCCATTGTGGGTGGTGCGGTCCTGGGTTCTACAAGAAAGCAGGCTGAGCAAGCCATGTGGAGCAAGTCAGTTTATAGACCCCTCCATGGCCTCTGCATCAGCTCCTACCTCCAGGTTCCTGCCCTGCTTGAGTTCCTACCCTCACTGTTTTTGATAATGAAGGGTTATATGGAACTCTGAGTGAAATACACCCTTTCTTCCCCAAATGACCAAATTGCTTTTGGTCATGGTGTTTCACCACAGCAGTAGTAATCCTAACTAGGACATCATGTTTGGGATCTGACATGAATTCATCCAGGAAACAAAGCCAATCTATCCCAGGGTCCTATAAATCTGCTTGGCCTGTCTGTAATTCTGACCTTTAAAGTGTGTTATATAAATGGGACGGCACAATATGCGACCCTTTAGAATTGGCTCTTTTCCTCCAGCACAGTTCCTAGAGATCTACCCAGGCTGTCGCGTACACAGAGATCTCCATATCTATGCGATGGCTAGGGGTGCCATTGTTGAGGTATATGGGTGATGTCATATACTCAGGTTTTGTTGTTTTTGAAGCAATCTCACTATGCAGCCCTGGCTGGCCTAGAACTCACAGAGATCCACCTGCCTCTGCCCCGAGTGTTGGGATTAACCAAATATGCCCACCTGAGACACACATTCAGTAGTTGTTTTTCTTTTTTTTAATATTTATTTATTTTGCACAACTGTTTTGCCTGCATGTATTTCTACGCACCATGTGTATCCCTGGTGTCCATAGTGGCCCGAAGACGGTATGAGGTTCCTTGGAACTGAAGTTATAGGTGGTTATAAGCTGCTATGTGGGTGCTGAGAACCAAACCTGAGTACTCTGTAAGAGCAGAAAGTACTCTAAACCACAAGCCCTCTTTCCGGCCCATGTGTTCAATAATATACAGCCAAGTTATTTTCTAGGGTGACTTTACCTTTTGAAATTCCTACCAGCAAAACAAGAGTGGTCTGACTCCTCCACATCCTCATTAGCGTAAGGAGTTGTCGCGGTTCTGTTTCAGCCATTCTGATACTGCACTGTGTGTACTGACAACACTGGCCATCTCTCCTAACATTTCTTTAGTACCCATATTTGCTGAAATGACTATTCATATTGCTTGCCCACCATATGAGTTCCAGTTTGCTGAGTTTCTCCATAAATGGGTGCTGGACTGTATCGAATGCATCACTCTATCGGGGGAAACCATTGTACTCGTTTTTTCTTTAGCTTGTTGATAAGGCAAACAGCATGAGCTCAGACTGACATGCCATCAACTCAAGCCTACGACAATCTCTTCTGCCGAGTGTCTGTCTGCATGTCCTTTCTTCCATGCTAATGATATCAAAGATAGTGCAAACACAGAGTATCCATGGTTACCTGTTGGATTCTGCACACATTAAACTCATCATCATCTTAGAACAAAAATACCATTGCAGAAGAAAAGCCCTAAATGAATGCAAGTGCATTAATTTCATTCTATATTTTAGGAATTGTGTTTTATAATGATTCAGAGTTTTCCCGGTTCTCAATGACAAAAATCTACACACATATATATGAGTCTGGCTTATTCCACCACATAAATGTTCATGGCCGTTTTATTCACAATCGACAAAACCTGGAAGTAAGTTTTGGTAGGAGAATGGGTGAATGGTGCTCCCTCCAGACAGTGGAATGTCATTTAACCATAAAAAGAAATGCACATTTTTACATACTGAACTCGTATTTCCATTGGGTTTCGTGTGTGTTTGTGTGTGCACATGCACTTGCATGTGTGCAAGAGCACATGCCCACACACAAGCATCTGAAGACTGGAGGATCGTGAGGGATCTCTTCTTTCACTCTATGCCTTATTCTCTTGAGACAAGGGCTCTCACTGAAACTTCAGCTCGCTGTGCTTGGTAATAACACTCCTGTCTCTGCCCTCCCCATCCCCTCCCCTCCCTATCCCTTCCCCTCCCCATCCCCTCCCCTTCCTTCTCCTTCCCATCCCCTCCCCTCTCCTCCCTACCCCCTCCCCTCCCCATCCCCTCCGCTTCCTTCCCCTTCCCCTCCCCTCCCCTTCCTATC